TTTGCTGCCAGGCTCTTGCAAAATATTTAATTTGCAGTCATTGTCCCACTTGCCAAGGCCTAGGCCATTACATATCACAGTGACAAACATATAACCTGCCGAGACGGTTACTGGAAAGGGTTTGTCATGGAGAGGACGTGCCAAAACAGCCATTGATAAAGGGGCAAAAAAACATTACAGAGAAAAGGGCAGAAAATGGCTTCCAAACTGTAAGGTATGTCTGTGAAATAGGACAAGCGCAAATAAACTGCAGCCTGGCCTTTCTTCCAAAGGAAATTGGTTTGGAAGCTTTGGACAGCTTTTAAGGCAAATCATGTCTAATGATCTAAAACAAATTCAAATTAGCTTCACACAATATTTCATACTCCAATGCTTAGATCTTTTCTGTCATCATTTTTTTAAATAAATTTACATAAGCAGTTTAACTTGTTGAACTGTGTTGCGACCGCATATACTTACACTATTTATAACAAAGTATCAAATTATCAAAGTAACAAATATTTCAGGACTGCTTGAAATCCTTCAATATGAAAACATGACTCACAGAATTCAAAACTTCCTCACCAGTGTGAAAAAAGAGTGTATTTCACCAACATTGTTTCACAACGCCATTTCAATCCACAATTTTTGTGACACATTTCAGTGCAAGCTGTTTGATTCTCACATTGTCGATCCTGTCACAAGATAATGCAAGTGTTACAAAATGCCTGCTTTTAAAGAATGAGGCAATTTTAACTTTTATACTCCTGAACAGCACACCCGCAGTTAGCAGGAAAATACTGTATCTCATTTCACGGTTTTACATGGAAATCTTGAAGTCCCACTGAAGTGCCTTGGAACGCGCAGCTTTGTTTGATGCGTTGACAAACAGGAAGCAAAGGCGGGACATATTGAATGGCCCCTCCCCCTTTTCAAATCGTGTTTAGTTTACCTCACAGACTGCAGTTGTATTTGACAGCACCATGGAACCGGATCCGAGCGCTGATGATACGTTGGATTCAATAGTAGAGGAGTGAATAAATTCTAGCCATTTCATTCTTAACCAATGTTCAGTTGGAAAACGGAATGAAACTCGAGCGTTTGAGCAACCGAACACACATAACCAACTCATATTGATCTGTGACGTGTCAACGGTCGCTTTGGCCAGATGGCATTTATAGCATTAGTGTTCAATGCTATAATATATGATGATATATTTAGATTCTAGAGAGCATTTAATGCGACAGAAGATGTGACGAGAACCTGAAGTCCGCAGTGATGTCATAAAACTCTGTGATATATTTAATAGACTTGAGACTTTATGAGACAGAACAGACTTTATCTCCTAAATGCAATTTTTGTCATTGTTTTGGAACACACCCGCTTATTCATATACTAAAAGATAAAAATCTTAATTTTTAAAATCGAAATAATAGCTTTTGATTTCAGGGGCCCTTTAAACTTTGCTAATTAAAAAAAAAATCGCTAATTAAAAAAAAAAAAACGCTAATTCAATCTGCATGCTTAAAAAAGTTATGTAAAGAGGAGATTCGTGGCTTTTATGATGATTTCGGGAAAAGATGATTTGTCGCTTTCGGAGATTCAGAGGATTGTGAGTGATTGCGTCATCAAGTTTTGATCAACATTCGTCAAAGAAACAAACCCAACATTTCTTTAATAGTTTGTGAAAAGCATTTGCACTATTTGTATTTTTGTTGATATCTGGTATAATCTGGTATACAGTAAATCCATTCTCAGACAAAATAAATGAAAAATTGGGAATTCAAATGAGCTAGATTAAACCTTCAAGTTCTCCTGTTTAAAATGATATATTTCACTTGATAATAGCTAGAGAAACAAAGAAAAGAACAGGCGAGTCAGGTGCTCCACAAATGTTCTGTCTCTTTAAGAGTTAAAGGCACAACAGCATAAAACAACCTGTTTAGTTTTAATATAAGGGAGTAGAAAACGGTCATAAACTTTTTTTTTTTTTGGTTCAAAAGACTTTTAATATCATTTCTCCCTCGGGGAGAAAATTTAAATAGGAAAATTCATGATACGACCCCTTTAAAAATGAAATCCTGAGCAGGTGCCGAGGGAAGTAAACGGTGTAGCCCTTGGATGCGAATGAGGTTTTTCTTATTAAGATCTCGTTTCATGCACGCTGTGCTGACAACGTGGAACAGAGTGACCGCAGCAGGTCTGGTTGAGTCCTGCATTATGAGTCCAGCTGGAACAGCACCGTTATAGTCGTGGCATTGAAAATGAGAATGAAAAGGCCGCCTGACCAGTTCGTAAGCAGTATACCGCCGCAGGCCTCAGCACCGCCCCGTACACACGAAGTCGCACTCCTCGCACGCCAACAGGCACACGTCGTCGTCATGCTCCAAATCACGCATGACACATGCAGCCGCGAGCGGGAAAACACAGTCTCAGGCGAGTTCACAAGGTCGTCAAACACAAGAAGAACCCCCCCAAAAGTCGAAAGAAACACTGCAAATTCAAGTATGTATTCAGTTCGAGTTCATTTTACACGGTTGGTGACATACAGTTCTCTTCATTTAAAGAAAAAAAAAAAAAAAAGAAGCAACTCTTCCAGTCTTGTCAGTGATTAGATTTTTTTGTTTTGTTTAAAACACACTGATGAATAGAGCCACGGCACAATGCCTGCAGGGCTAAAAGAGGTTCAGTTCTATTGCAAAGTGTGGAGAGGTTTGTCTTTGCAAACACCTGTTGGATCGCATTAATCACCACAGACACCGATGCAAGACCAGGCATGAGTTAGTGCAGGTGAACTGAGAATAAAAAGGAGAGAGAGAGAGAGAAAGAGAGAGAGACTGAATGGCTGGATTCAGGTTGTTTTCAGAAGCTTTAGAAATAGCTGGTTAGTAGTGAGTACATCGACAAAAAAAAATTCAGTAGTGTGAAAGCAGCTCAGTTGTTTTCAGAACAGTGTAAGTTTACCCTTAACCAACCTTTTTTTTCAGCTGTAGCAGTGTAGCGTGACAAGACAACGCACTGTTGTTTATTTTACATTGCATAGTGCATAGCCGTTCGCACACGCAGTGATTTAGCTAGAAGTTACTGCACTGCACTGCAATTGGTCTCTGCCCACATACAGAGAAATAATAAAAACGTGGTGTGTGGAAAACTGTCAGAAATTGTTATGATGCATTATACACTGCTGCAGTTTATATACAAACACTGTCATCCCTTCGGAATGGACATTTGAAATGCAAAAATCTGTTGTGTTGTCAAAACTGAAGAACATGTTATGTGTCATTTATGATTAGATTTTCAAAAGCTGTGTTCTGTTGTGCATCCAAACGTTAACATTAGCATAACAATAAACAATAAAGCTACTCATGACATATCCTAACATAAAATCACTGCATGGACGGCCCAATGCAACCAAAACATTCAAATTGGTTTAAAAGGTTTGGATCAAATACGGTCACTGTTCACTCATTATAATTCCAAAAGAGACTGATTGACATTTTGCATTTTTTTATTTTTTTTTTTTTTTAGTCAAAAGAAATATTAATTAAGACTATTTTACTTTTGTTACAAAGAGTTTCTATTTCAAATAAATGCTGTTATTTTGAACTTTTGATTAATCAAATAATCCAGAAAACAAGTATTGGGGTTTTCACAAAAACACAACAGTTTCCACTGTTTTGAACACTGATAATAATCAGAAAAGAATTTTGAGCAACAAATCATCATATTAGAATGATTTCTGAAGGATCATGTGACACTGAAGACTGGAGTAACTGAACATTCAGATTTGATCACAGGAATAAATTACAATTGGATGCTGCAATAAAATGGTTATTTTATTAAATTGTAACAATATTTCACAATATTCCTGTATTTTTAAATACAGTAAATAAATGCAGCCTTGGTGAACATAACCAACCAACCCACCAATCCAACCAACCAATCCAACCAACCCACCAACCAATCAGTCAACCAACCCCAACCAATCGCCAACCAAACAATTTGGCTTAAAAAATGGTCAAATCTAACAAAAATCTTACTGACCCCGAACTTTTGAATGGTATATGAATTTGAAGGGTTTTTTGTTGTTGTTATAATAAATTTTTATTTACTTTTATATTATGTTCAGATTTAATGCTGCATATTTAAATGAAATGGCTCAGGTTCCTCGTTCAGTGAAAGTCTTACTCTGCGTCCGAAACAGCATAATCTAGAGTGGTTACTTATTTTGAAATAATAATAAGCTACTTTGCGAGCACTAAAAAATATGTTCTATATAGTATGAATGAAATCTGGATGTACTACATTCACCATGATGTCATCATCATGTGACCTTACGTGGCTTCACTGCCAATCATAAATCCTCTCCCGTGGCCTCATGGGATAGTAAAATGTCCATCATAGCACTTCATCATCTTTTATGAGTATTGGGAATTCAGACATACTTCTTTTGTCGCACACTGTATATAGTATATGATTTTGGATGCTGCCAGTGACTCTCTCATCAGTTTTAACATAAAAACAGTAATCCTACACCTCAAGAAGTTACATGATTAAAGGTATCATTCATGTTTGTATAGCACAAATGGGGTTTGTTCAAATCCTTCAGTAATGGGATTAGCAATAGAAACAGAAGCACACTAATTACACTTTTTTTTTTTTTTTTTACGAGAGGCTCTGTACGTGTGCTGGTATTTAGGTGTCTGTGAAGACTGGCTTGTAAAACATCACATGCACAGCGCTAAGCAGCTTTCTGCTCTCGCCATCTCAAGCGTATGATCAAAATCCCAGGACATGTCTCCAAACAAAGCCTATGATTCAGTGCTGCTCGCCACTTTACCATCAACACAGCCCACATTTCTTGATCTTTCTCTTTCTCGCCCTGCAAACCACTCTTACATAAACTCACACAATACTGTTAATAATGGATTCTTTGTTCACAACTATCGAATTGTGTTTTCAAAAAGTCAGGTGGAAAGCTTTCCACATAGTGTTGTTTTTTTTATTTCTTTTCAGTAAAACTTGAGGAGACAGGAAAAGAAAATCTCAGCTGCGTAAGAAAAACAAGATCACACCTGCAGGCAGGATTTGTGCACCGCCAGCAGACCTCCTTCTCTGGGATCAGATCAAGCCTCTCGTGTGCCTGCTTTCCGCTAAAGCTTTTAAAAGGAGTTTTTCACAGAAAAGAGGATTGTAGGCTACTACGTAGACATGCGCTAAGTTTGAGAGCTCAAAAGTCCACCCAGACCTTTAACTGAAACTTTCATTCAGAAATCTCAAATCAATTAGATTACATATTAACATCTGAGTTACTATTATTACCAAACAAGAGAGGAAGAATTGATCAGAGTGAAGTCTGTCAAACCTTGTGTTGATCCTGTCGCTCTGCAGATCTGCATGAAAGATCCTTGTGCTAGAAACAAGGAGATGAAATATATTTTTAAAATAAAATCAGTAATACATTTTTTTTAGCATGTATTGTTTTGTGAATGCCACAATTTTGATGCTGGTTTTACAAAGAGTCTGATTATTAAAAGATGGGCTGAGCCAAACAAACTCACAATATATACAGAAGCACTGTTATACTTATGTGAACATGTTGAAATATTATAACAATTTACATAGAAATCTTAAAGGTTCAGTAACAAAAACACCAGTTTGATTTTAAAGGCCAGAAAGAGGGCAGATGATGGTTCAAGAAACCTTGGCTAACATTATAAGTCGGCGTGAAACGTAAGTTTAAATTGTAATTTTTTCCGTCGTAACCTATATCCGAAATTAGAAAAAAATGTAGCGCAGGGCTTGATTTCGTCCTTCGGGAATTGATTGGATTGTTGGAGGTTGGGCGTTGCAAACAAAATGGTGGCAGATTTGAATGCGATTCTCTGAGAGGCGGTGCACCGATCTCTCATCGGTTCTGGCCGTACGTTATCGCCATTCCACGTGACTGAAATAGAAGAGAGGTTGTTTCGATGGGGGAGAAAAGGGTAATGTCTTTGATTAAAGATTATAAGGCTACATTAATTTTTTTAAATAATGAAGTGCACAGATAAATCATTTATAATAAACACTACAGTATTGCAAAAAGACAATTGGTCAAATTTGATTTAATGCCGACTTTAAAGGATATGGTAGTGTAGTATGTTCCACAGTAACACTATTTCAGTGGTCCACTTTAAACATTCTATAACTATAAGTAACTTTGCAACAACATGTCACCTAACTCTTATTAGAGTATTTGTAGACTGCTAGTAGCACTTTATTTTATAGCCCGCGTGTACATGTACCCTGAAACTGTTCCTAAACCTAATTTAACAAATTAGAATTGAGTAATAATTTATCAAATTTTCCCTTAAAAGTTAACCATTTAAAATGAGTAAAGTTTACACCAAAAAAATGTAACAAAAATATCTCACTAACAGACAGACGTCAAAGATTACTTAAGAACTATTTATTTTATATTGCCAACATTGAAGACACCTGATGTTAACAAGCAGAATCACTGAAGGAGAAAAACGTAATTTTAAAACAAACCTAAAACAAACACTGATCACCATAATGGTGACTTAAAATTATGTTTTTTTGGTTGTTGTTGTTGTAAGTTTTACTCATTTTAGATGGTTAACGTTTAAGGAATTAATTTGATTAATTATTACTCAATTCTAATTTGTTACATTTAATTAATAATATTGCTTGTAATCTGTTGCCACAATTTTTTTGATTAGATAAAGCCTATTCATTTTTACAGTGTAGTTAAAAGAATGTTTAAAGGGTTAAAAAAAAAAGTCTGTTCCACTTCTAAGCGTGAACATTTCCAAATCATCCCAGCCACAAAAGGCTGTCGACATATTGTACATCTTTGGTGCATTACCATCCATCAAATGTGAAATTGTGGTGTTTTTAGATTTATTATTTTCCATACGAGCGCTTATCAGAAACAAGCACGCCCAATGCTAGGCCTGTCAGCTCACACTTCCTGCCAGTGTCCCTTACAACATCCTGAGGGACTAAATCAAAAAAATATTGGCAGAGCGTGGCGTGGAGTGGCCGGAAACCCTTTGGAAGCGTGGATGGTTTCTGGTGCGGGTCCAGACTGACCCCAGCCACCCGTCGAGGGAGCTTCTCTAACTTTCATCCGTTAAGGAAACATCTGGAGACCAATGACCCAGACTGATCTGTGCGCATGTGGACGTAGAGACTGTAAGTGGAATGCTAAGGCAAGCATCATTATTCATTTTGATCATATTGGGCTCATACACAAACCTTAATACCTGAATGTTTTCTTAATATTGTTGGCGCATCTGCTTATGCCTAGTCATTAAGATGTATATTGAATTTGGTCTTTTAAAATCCCTGTATTTGTACATAAGTGCTTAGTACAAACCTGGTAAAACTGCCTGGCAGACTCTCAAGAAAAGCCTTGTCTTGTCATGTGAAATATATGAATTGGCATCGATGGTTCCATAAAGAACCCTTAACATCCATGGAATGTTTCTGTTCCACAAAGGGTTCTTTGGATTATTTAAACGTTTTTCATACAGAGAAAATGGTTCTTTAAAGAACTGTTCTCTGTGGGGAACCAAAAATGTTTAGTAACGAAGGACAATGATCACAGACATGGTAATGTTTAACCCAGTGTGGTTAACTTGCTCCCAGGTTGAAAAACAACTTGTTTTGTTTCGGTTAGGTGGCACTTATTGAATTCCTCCGTATCATTCGTCACTGGCGTCTCCGTCTTGTCATCTTTCACCACCGATAGATACTGATGCTGAGTCCTGAACATGAAGAGACAAGGGTTGAGTTGTTTTTGAAGAGGAACACGCTGTTGTCTGTCCACCAGCAGGTGAAGGAGACAAAGAAGAGTTGTAGCATTCATCCTCGCGTCTGAGGGAAGAATAACCACACGGTGTGTTGACAGAGGTGAGAGGGATGGGGTCAAAGGTCACACCTGCTGATAATTCAGCTGTCTGAACAGACAATTCACCCACATGGATGTACCTTATTGAAACCAACAAATAGTGGACTGGAAAAAGTCAAAACAACATCTGTTCTTCTTTGAGATGCTCTTAAACCCATGAATAATAAAGTGCAACTAAACATATGCAGATAGCTAATTGGCTGAAAAAGGTCAAAGGTTTGGTGCAAGTTTTCAGGTTGCACAGGTTGAAAGGTTGCATGATGCACTTACCCTAAAAAAAGGTTGATTTTATCGTTTTATTATAGCTTCATGCACTATTTTTTTTTATCAACACGAATGTGGGTTTCATTAAAAAAATACAATATATTTGAGCAAAAATAAATAAAAACATTTCTGGATCGAATACAGACCGATGATCAAAACATAAATGGAGCAGGTTGAGTCTATCAAAAGCCCCAAAGCTTCACAGTCCCATACCTCGTCCTGGGTCGACATTTCATTTAGTAACGTTAGGCAGTTTTGATTTATATGCTGTTCGCGTTATTTTACATTAGCATCTGCTTACTGTACATATGGTATAGCTTGTTTTTTTCTTTTAATCTGGATATTCTCTACTCTTTTAGAAGATGTGTATAGCCCCCACTACTGTAAAACAGTGACAACAGAAAGACGGTAAATTCCATCAATGGTGGGGAATTCTCATAAATTACGAACATTTCGGCCAATGGAGTTGAAAGAGTTAATTTGCGCGTAATCATCAGTAGAACTTGAGGACGGAGGACACTGTGATCGGAGCTGTGTTTTTGTTGTGTGTTTCGTGATAACTGAGATGGAATAGACGTTTAGTTATGAGAAAATAACACAACGCCACAAAGGCGACAGATAAATGGCGTTAACATTAGCATTCTGTTTGTTTGTCTTTCTACGAACGTTAGTTCGGGGAGTAAATATATGAAAATGATGTGTGTTTACACAGATTTTTCAAAATGGCGGGTGCCAGTGTTTCGCATGGCATCCGTTCGACCAATAAGTGTGCATTTACATCAATGGAAATTTATTTTGTGTTTGGTTAAACCCTACTCTGAATTAGAACCCAAAAGGCTTTCCTAAAACTAAGATTGTTCCCAGGTCCTGCGGTGCAAAAATCCCAAAAAGTGGGTACTTCTGCCAAAAGTTATAGGAAATTTAACATTATACTATAACTACAAGGGTGCAAAAGACTCTCACGACATTGCTGTGAAACCTCCCTTTTTTAACCTTTCTTTTTTTATGGAGGGACCACCAGTGCCAATTGCTCCTACTATTGACTTAGGCTAATGATTCTTTTGGGAAATGCAGCCCATAACTACATGGCTAAACTGATCTATCACAATGCGCAAACAGAATGACCAATCAAACCCTCTTTTTTTGTTCAGAATAATAGAGACGTGATATTTGGAAATTACATGGAGGATGTTGTGCTTCATGTGCAAATCGACTTCTGACCCAGTCCATCCTCTCTACCTGCAGCCAGACCACGTCCTCGCTTTTCCTCTCTTCTCCTTTCTCACTAGCTCCGTCCTACATACAAGATGTCGTCTTAGTGCTGCATGACTGACCTGGCAGCTAAGACAACAGCCCTCTCTCCTGAGCTCCACTGTATAAAATCTGCTATTCTCTGCACCCACGGTCTCTCATCTCCTCTAATGTGGACTGACACCCCCTACTTTGAAGTCCATGGGTGCTCTCGACCTGGGCCCACCCAACAAAAGCAGCCTGATCCCCGGCTGACGCTCCAGCAGAGACACTTATGCTGACATAGGGTCGGAAAAAAGACAAGACCTCTTTCACGCTAGAGCTTCTGCTGCAGAACAGAGACAGTTTGATATCAGAGTTTGGTTCATTTCGATAGAGTGAAACAAAATGTTTTACAACTTGTGGAAGCGAACTGCTTCAAATAATTTGCATGCTCCCAATAATGCATTTCTCAGAGCAGGTTGTCACCAAATAAATATCCTTCGGCAAACAACTAGCATTCTTTAAATGTTTTTTTTGCAAAGCATAACTCAAGTTATATCTACTGGAACAGTTAAATCTAACAGGAGTCATTATAGCGACAATGAAAACACAGTTGCTGCTAGTACTCACAACGAGGATCCAAACGTAACGTTTAGAGATGGAGACACAAACAATGTAAAGACAACTTTAAACTCCATGTCCATATTCATTTAGGTATGACAGGCTGTTCTGTCAACAGTTACATTACCATCTAGAGGTAGAGAGTAAACCAGTTCCAAAGAAAGCTTAGGTCATGCCAAAATTGCAAGCATTGTGATGGAAAGAGAGTTATGCAAAAATTTTTGTACCACCTCTTCTCTCTCACCACAAGTGAGAAGCGTCATGCCCATTCAAACACATAGCCCCTAAGTTTTTTCAGCCAAGTGATTTTTCAAGGCAACTTTAATTGAATACAAATGAATTTGCATGATTAATTATTTTTTAAACCGTTTAGCAGATATCACTTATTTACAGTATGTCTACATTTGAGTGGCACCTTCTGCAACGAATAATCTTTTCTGTACAAATACAGATTATAGACAATAATCCGTTTCCAAATATAGAAAACATTTCATCGACATCACAACATTTTTTCTTTTGTCAAATCAACTTAAATAATTTATTTAGTTGAGATAACTTATTATTTTGAGTTTCTGATGATTAAATCATTCTCCTCCATTGTATTAACTCACTTTTTCCAGTTCAATCAACTTAAAATTTTAAGGCAACCAGGTTACTTCATTTTTTAAGTTAAACCAACAATATTTTTTTACAGTGTATATACAAGAGTGTACTTCATTCTCACACTGGAAAAAAAAATATTGTTGGTTTAACTTAAAAAATTAAGCAACCTGGTTGCCTTAACATTTTAAGTTGATTGAACTGGAAAAGGTGTGTTAATAAAATGAAGGAGATTAATTTAATCATCAGAAACTAAAAATAATAAGTTATCTCAACTAAATAAATTATTTAAGTTGATTTGACAAAAGAAAAAATGTGATAACAAATCTTGAAAATATTTCGTTTTCGTTTAAATACAAAATTTTTGTCAATGCTGTATTATACCGACTAAGGTCTGTATGACGACGTGGTCCTATAAAAACTGTGGTTTTACAATTTCCAACAGGGCACAGGCTCTGCTTGTTGGTGATGGAACATTGGGAAGAACCAGGATGTGGTTGGCCTGAAGTGGGAAGGGATGGGTGATTGAAAGGCCCATTCATACCACTTACCACTGACCTACAGTTGAGGTCTGTTTTGCTAAAGCTCAACGAAAGACCGAATGTCAAAAGGAGAGAGGGGCAAAGAGTAAGAGAAGGGTGTTGTGTTGATAAATGCCCTCAGCATCAACATTTTATCCATTAAACTGGCCATAGTGAGCATTCATCATCAGCCTGACACAATGACAGTGAACGTGTTTAACTGCAAAACAAAAGAATGTCTGGGAAACACATCTGAATCCAACCGTGTCAGGGCTGAAAGGCACACATTCTCTCGTCTCCCCAATCTCTGACCTCTCTCTCTTTCCCCGGAAACGTTAGGATATGCAAAACCGCCACACTCGTGATTTGCATGTGGTTAGAGGCCGTGAGGCTGCGGGCAGAAGTCGCTTTGTAGAGTGACAGCGCTGGAATGTGTCTGTGTTCACAGCACTAATACGTACGCACGAGGAAACAAGACAAGTTCCAACAGCTCGCCCCCTAAGGTCCTTCACTGGCTTCCCCATGTGTTTGTTTTGAGAGCGCTGAATGAAACCATGCACTCTGGATGACATAGTCCCGGCATAATGCCGTCTCTCCTGCACCTAGAGGATTACTTTGTTTCTTTGTTCACCCCTCCACCCATCACGTATACGGTACAGTGGGCGCAAAGCATTTATCCACCGACCGCTTCTATCCTAGCGCCCCGCAGGCCCACACAGATGAAGAAAATAGAGGTGTGGAAAACGCAGCTTTTCTGCTGATCTGTTCCGAGACCATTCGGCTCAGTTCCGCGGCCAAAGCAAGCTCGCTGTCGAGTCTCGGAAAATTTTCAGGACTGAAATCCTGAGAAGCTGATGTACAGCACCATCCTGCCAACTGGTACGTGGCTTGAGAAGAGCTTAAAGAAGAAAACGACGGAAAGAAAGAGCTGGATGGGCAGTTCTAATTCGGGGACTATTCATTTGGGCTTCAATCATTCTCTTGGGCAGATAGAAACCTAATAAGATCTGCCAAAATGTTCCGTTAACAAGCACTTAATCTCCATTACCCAATTACTGTCTCCCGGGGCAATTTGAGTCAGCGTAGCTCAAGGTAAACATATCATTTAAAAGCAAGTTATTTATATCTGGTGCATAAATCATGGCACGGCGGTGAATGGCAGAGGTTGTTCATAAGGATAAGAATGGGTGTCGAAGAACCAAGTGCTGGATTCATTCCGTTCCTAAAACCTAGCAACTTGTGCCAAAGAGCAGTTGCATCTGTTTAACCAAAGGCCATTTATATGTGGAACCTTGAGAGAGCTTTGCATATGGAAATGATGGCGGTCTTTAGCAGCAGGGTTGTAGTAATGTTGCCAGGGGCTCATCTGGACTACTGTTAAACTATGATGTTTTGCTTTGGGGCTGCACCGTGACACATGATTGCCTGATCGCCTCTTTGCATATGTGAACGAGCATGAGCGTAGATATATCATCCTGCAATAAACCAGAGAATTACCTCAGTGCTCAAAAACGCAGCATGTTCTATTCACTACATCTGGTTCACTTTAGCTCCAGCATCCCAAGGAGCTTTCACCTCCAAAAGTGCGCACACACACACACAGCACATTAGATTTGTGTGTGCGCGGGGTGCCGTGTTGCCATGGATTTTCTTGAGGTTTTAGGGCTAATGTTTTATTTATCAATAACTTTACCGTGTTATGCTCGAAAGAGCCATCCATATTCACAGGAAGACCCGAAGGGAATAGGAGCGTCCAACTCCAC